AATGAGAAAAAAAATGAGAGCTGGAATGAGTCGGGAAGGAAAAGAAAAAGGGGTCCTCACAGTGAGCACGGCCAGAGATTGTTAAATGGGTAGCGTGACCTTGGCATAGTGTGAAGTGCAAGATTTGTGATGATTTGGGTGATTGAGAATTATGACGTGATGACGATGCATGATTGATTGAAATACGATATGTTGAAATATTTATGAATATTAAGTTATAATGAGATAAGATATTGTGTTTTCTTATGTGTTATATATATAGATGTTTTCTTTTCTCACCGTGCGATTTGTGGATATTTTAGGTGAGGAAGATCTGGCTACGAGTGGTATCTAGAATGCCAACGGTTGAATTGTCGGGATGCTCTGATATTGTGACATCGGGGCAAAGAATTTTTTAGAACATAGGTTTTTATTGTAAATGTTATTTTTGAAAATAATTTGAAAACTCTTGCGTTTCATTTTTGTTATTGTGGTTATTGAAGGATAATTTTTAAGATTCTCATGTGAACCCTTTTACCGAAATTGAAAAATTTATTTATAAGTTTTTATTATTACAATATATATGTTGGGGTAGTAAGGGTGTCACATTTAGTGGTATCAGAGCAGGTCGATCCAATCGGCCGTGAGTTATGAGTCTACTATGCTTTTTTGGTAGATAATTGATGGAATGATTGATTGTGGAATTTGTTGATATGCTAGTGTTATGATTGATTAAGTTTATTGTTTACTTATAGTATAATTGTTAACTTTTCTGGTGATCAGAAAAGTAATGGCAGGAGGTAGGAACGACCGTGCAATCGCTGATGCTTTGCAAGCGATGGCTCAGGCTCTTGGTAATATGAACCAACAACTAGAGGTAGATTGGCTGGAGAGATTCCAGCGAAATAATCCACCAAGCTTCCACTAGTTTGTTTTAATTATTGAAACTACGTTTAGTTCTTGATTAATCTGATCAAGTTCCACTATCTTTTACATAAATATAAGTATTCTTTTATAAGTCACTTCTGATTCAATCTCAGTATTTTTTTACTTCTTCAAGCAACTACCTAAGTATTCTTATGAACACAAAGTCTCTTAAGGCTTCAAACAACCAAGTATTATTTGAGCACAAAGTCTCTTCAAGCTTCAATCAACCAAGTATTTTTTTTTACAGTTAAACATTTCCAAGTTTAAAGCAATAACACTAAGTTAAAGTTGGGTAAGATAACTATGTTGTTTCGTCTTGCTTTCAAGATATGATACAACAACTTTTAAGTACACAACTTATTGATAGAAAGAATGAATAAGTTTTTACAATGTGTTCACTCTTACATCTTTTTCAATCTTCAAGCTTCCTTAATAGGTGCTTTAGTGACGGTAATTGTTGCAAATACTTGAGCGCCTCTCACAAACTTGTTTCTTTTTTCTTCATTTTTGTTTCTTGTGTAGAGAAGTGTCCATTGGTATATTGATTGCTTGCATTAAATGTGTTTTACCAAATTGTAACTTGTTTGATCAAAGAAGTTAATTATCATCTTTTAGGTACCAAACAAGTGGAGTCATGTGTGTGTCAGTTTAAAACAACTTTTTTTGAGAAATTCCATGATTTAAGGAATCCTTTCTTCTTTTTTTAATGTAAAACATGTCTTTTGTTCCTTTCATTATTTGTGAGTATCAAATAAGCTATTTCACTTCAATTTGTTCAAGAATCATGTGAACAAAGATTGATTTAGTTATCAAACTTCATAAATGATATAGATTCAAAATATATGTCTTATAGATGGAGTGTTTCATATGTTAGATTTAATGTCAAGATAATTAATTGTCTTATAGATCATCTTATACTAATTCGTCTTATTGATTGGTCTGGAAATTTTTTTTTTCAAGAAAAACATGTTTTACTTACAAATTCTTCTCCTACAATAAGACTTTCATCCACATCTCTTATAGCAAGATCTCCATCCACATCTACACCAAGACCTACAAATACCATTGCTAATACTCATCCTACGCAGACTCAAGCAAAGTCAGGAATTTTTAAACTACAGGTTCTTCATATTTTTTGCTTAACCAACAACAGTAAAATATGTCTTGTCTAATCCTTTTTGACTTGCTCATAATATATTGTGTTGATGAATAATAATACTTGATCTTTTGTTGAGTTCCCTCCCAATTGGAAAACAATTAGGTGCAAGTGGATTTTTCATGTAAAAGAAAATATTGATGACAACAATAACAAATACAAAGCTCGGTTTGTTACCAAAGACTTTCTTCAACAACACAACTTTTTGTGAAAAATGAAATATTTAAATAGATAAAAAGTAAAAAAATAATATTAAAATAAATATAAAAATGATGTAAAAAGATAATATTTAAAATTTAAAAATAATATATATATTATTTTGATATTAATTACTATTTATTATATAATAGAGTTGGTAATTTGAGAGTAAAGTTCACTTTTTCATGATATAAGAATATACAAATTTAAATAAATGTCAAATAAAAAAAATGAAACAATTGTGGGAGAAGGCAAAATACGGATAAAAATAAATGTAGAAGTGTGAAATAAGTGAAATGTTTACAAATAAAATATTATTTTAATTTTTATATATAGTGTGAGGGGGAAGGAGAGACCTACACAGGGGTAGGGGTATAAGTGGATTGAATTAAGTTGAATTTGAATTAATTCATTATCTGACTTAATTAAAATTTAACAAGTTGGATTGAATCGCATTTGTGAATTTTTTTTTTGAAATTCAACTTAATTCAACCTAATCACAAACGGATCGGATTTAATTAAATCAATTGGGTTAACATAATTAAATTTATTTATTTATTTTATAAAAATTTAAATATTTCATATTAGATGTAAATCATTTGATATCTTGTTGCAAATGCAATATTATTTCAACCAATAAAACAAATAATAATACAAACTAAATTTCAAAATAAAATTGTTAATTTGTTACATTATTATCAACTTAAACAACTAACATTAATACAAAATAAAATTTAAAGTAAATATGTTGTATTGTTACAATACTATTAACCTAAAAGCATAATACCTATTAGTGAACAAGACTGACAAAGAGTATTATTTAAATAAGTAATCACATTAACTTATTATTATTATTATTATATATTAGGTTTTGTCAACGTGTAGTACCTAGTATTATCCTAAACGTACAATACTGGATTTTGTAGAGTTAATTGAGTCTGACCTGAATGCAAAAAAATCTTATCTAAACTTATTGAGTCGATTTAGGATAATTCGAGTTCATAAATTACTCGTACCTACTTACACGCTTATGCAAGGGTCATGCTCATCTATTTTTTTAAAATGTATTAAAATTACTATAAACTTTTTATGACTCCTCTAAAATTTATAAAAACAAACATCATAAATTGATAGATAAAAATTACCATATTAATATACACTTTGAATAAAAAAAGAGAAATATATGTATGATTGATATGTAATACAATAGAAAAAGAGATGAAAAAAAATATAAATATAAATGAAAATTTGTAATATTAAAATATTCACATATATAAGTATTTAAAAAATTTATTGGCCTCTTTCAAACCAAATTTCGGTGATGATTTGCTGAAATTTAATTATTTTAACGAAATGTTATGAACGCATTTCTAAAATTGTGACTAAGGGAATCTTAAAGACTTTTAAACATGGTGAAAAAAAAAACTTTTAAGCAGATTTTTATATATTATTCATTTAATATTTTGTATCTATATTTATTAAAAAAATTATTTTAGTATTGCGTTAAAAACTCAGGACATTATATGATAATATCATTCTTTTATTATTTTTACTAATTATTATTATTTTAACAAATCAAAAATGATATATATGATCAAATTATGAGATTGATTCAAATTTGTGGTAATAATAGATGTGATTCTTAATTGTGTTCATGTATCTTAAGAAAATAAAGTACGTAATTATTTAATAATTTATTGTATTTTTAATATATAAAATTATTTTTTCAATAATTTGAAATTTGAATAATAATGAAAAAATTAAATAGTTAATTTAATATTTTCTGTTTTAATTTTTTTTTTCATTTTAAGATAATAAAAAATATATATCTTACCTGCTCAATTCATCTGTTTCACACCATATCAATTTTAAAATTGATAAATATGATATCCAATAAAACTATACTGTGATTCAATCATTTAATTTAAATATACGTTATTAAATTTATATTGTTTCATTCATTCATTCTCATTTAATTTTATTTTTTAATACTTTTACATCGTAAATTAACAAACTCCATAAATATGATTTTAATGAAATAATATGTTTCCTTATAAATAAATAAAAACTTAAATTATAGATAATCTTATTTGACTCTCATAAGATAATTGTGGATGCCAAAATTTTTCATTTGAGTATTTCATTCAACTGAAATAATATATCAAGAATGCAAACAATGTGAAAATAAACTTTAAAGCTATATTGAAAAGTAAATATATTTTATCTGTCTTCTTTTTATATTAATGAATAAATTCATATTTAATTAATATGTTATTTTTTTATAATATTAAATTAATATTTTTATTATACAAATTTTAGCTGGTTTTATATTTTTTAGTAATATAAAAGTTAAGAAAATTGTTAATATACTTATATATATATATATATATAATTACTCTCTCCACAATTAGCTTGTATATTATATGTGCATATGTATACACTCTAGTATAGCATACATAAATGTTCTAATTTTTATACAGCTCCAATTTATCTTCAACTTTCATTGTAAAAGAGAAAAGAAAAAAAAGTTCTAGAAATAGAAATAAACACATTAAAACAGAAGAAAAAAAAATTCACAACAAGGTATACTTATATGATCAAAACAAATTTTACAAAAAAGAAATTAAAAAAATGAAAAAGTGATGAGGACACCTATGCATAGGGAAGTGGGTTAGTTTATTAAAAAAATTATATTGAAAAATGTGGGATTATAAATTTTGGTAAGAGCATAAGTATGGGAGCTTAATTAGTGAATATTGAAAGGATTATCTGATGTAGCCGAAAACAAAGCGAAGTGATTCACCAGAACCAGATTATATTTTGTTACAGTACAACTGAACTGATCTCAATCTGCTTCTGTTACTTAATCCACATGCTTGCCCTAATTCAACCCAAGTCAATACACTGTCCCAAATCTTACATAGATTTCTGCTAAATTTCCTATTGCCAGATCCATCAGTTTCCGACACAACCAGACCAATACCCTCCAATCTTCCTCTTCAAATTCAATGGCGCCCTCGCAAAAAGGCAGGTTTTTTCTCTTATCTTTGCTCTTCGTTTTTTCTTCTCTCTATGTTTTTTGTGCCCCCATAGACTCTGAATCATGTTCAATACAATCCAAGCTCGACCACGATTCATGTCAGGAACCTCTTCAGGTTCCTCGACCACACCAAACAACTAATCATTTGCATCAACAAAATTTGTTGGATAAACTCGAGGAGTTAGTCAGAAATCTTAGTGATATAGTTGCGAGATTAGAATCAAAGCTACCTGACCCTCCAAAAGAAAAGGGTAGGTTTGCTCGAATGAAGGGTGGTGATGATATTGATGATGTAAGATCAACTGGTAAGGATTTTGAAGAAGGGGAATTTGAGGGAAAAATCCGAGACGGGGAGAGAGCTAAGGGAATGTCTGTGACAAAGTTCACACCCTTTTGGTCAGAGAGGTTTCAATTTACAAGTGCTGTGAAGTTGGATTCTGATGCCACGTGCATAAATGTTTTGCCTTTTAGGGACCACGAGGGGTTGAGTAAGTATGTGGCGGTTAGTGATGAGAGGGGAAGAGTGTATGTGTTTTTGAGGAATGGAGATGTGTTGGTTGAGTTTGATACCTCGTTGGAGTCCCCTGTTACGGCAATGGTTTCGTATACTTCGGTTTATAAGAACGAGAGTTTTGTGGTAACTGGTCATGAAAATGGGGAAATCTTGATGCATAGAGTTTGGGAGGGAGGGTCTAGTGGAGAGGATTATAGTTCTCTTTTCATGGAGAATGTTGGTAGGTTTGTGTTGCCTGAAAACCGTGAAGATCGGTTGCCGGTGACACTCTTGGAAGTTCATTATGTAGGGAGGATGAAGTACATTCTGTCAGCTGATACAAGTGGGAAGATCAAGGTCTTTAAGGAGAACGGTTCGTTTTATGGTTCTGCCACTCCATCTAGTAGGCCTCTAGTTTTCTTGAAGCAAAGGCTCATGTTCTTGACAGAAACTGGGGCAGGTTCATTGGATTTAAGGGGCATGAAAGTCAGGGAAGCTGAATGTGAAGGACTAAACCATTCTGTTGCTAGAACTTATGTCTTTGATGCCATGGAGCGTTCCAAAGCTTATGGTTATACCTCAGATGGGGATCTGATTTATGTCTTGTTGCATGGAGATGTGATGAACTTCAAATGCAGGGTTAGATACAAGAAAAAGTTTGATATGGATCAGCCTCTTGCTCTGCAGGCAATTAAGGGGTATTTGCTGATTGCTAACCCGGAAAAGGTTTCTGTGTATAATGTTTCATCTCCTCATTATGTGAGAGTTGGCGTGCCAAGAACTGTTTTCTCCTCGAGTCTTGATGAGCTTAGATCATCATTCTTGAATCATCCAAACCCAGGTTTGGATGCAGAAACAAGAGTAATACCCTTGATAGCTAGTGACCGTGAAAAGCTTGTTATTGTTGGGCTTGGAGGTGGTTATGTTGGAATGTATCATTCTAATCTACCTATCTTCAAAGGAGAATTCAATACCATGCTATGGACTAGCCCTGTGTTGTTCTTCATACTTTTTCTTTTTGGGGCTTGGCACTTTTTTGCCAAGAAGAAGGAAGCACTTACATCTTGGGGACCAGATGATCCTTTTAGCTCCACGTCAGCTACCACTGGTGCGCCGATGGCATCCGGTTCCGGAGACAGATCTTTCGCAGACTCTTCTTCGAGAAGTTCGGAAGTTATGGATCTCAGAGGTGGAAATCTCAGAGCTCCACCACCAAGAAGGTATGGCTCTCCCTCAAGGTATTCTGGTGGGGCAGCAAGTGCCTATAGACTTGGTGGTAATGCTGATCACAATGCTAGGCCGGCTTCGGTTGATCCAGATTTTCGTGCAACGGAGCTAAAGTATAGGGCCTCCACCATGGACCCTCCGGGTTTTCCTAAAAGAAGAGATGGCATGTTTGTAGCAAACCAAGTTGTAAATGATCGCAGTTGAGTGACAGTTAATTGCATGAACTTTTTTCTAACTAGTTTCAGATTCCCTTAGCTTTTAATCTTATCATATGATCAATTAGCATCACTTTGCTATCTGGTTTCTGCAGTTTTTTAGCTTTCAAGTTGTTGCTCTAAAGAGAGAAATAAATGATAATGAGAAACTTTCAAGCTTTTCTTCTCATATACTTTTGCTGTATTTCAAGTTTGAAAATATAATGTCCCAAGCACTGGTTTAAGATAGGATTTTACAATAATCAAGCTGTATAAATTTGGATATCTAAAGTTGGCTTCATTAAATTTGTGTCTAAATATTAGTTGGACTTGAAGAGATTAAGAATCTTTATACATGTAGTCTTGAGTAGATATATGATGCACGTGTGTGAAAAAAATAATGTTGGGATAGATTTTCAGTTTTTCACTTTAGCACCTGTGTCTGGGAAAAAATAGTAGGAAAGAAGTGATTGTAGTAATACCTGTTAAAGCTATAGAATCCAGAATACGCCATGTCTAGTAGTGTGGTTCGTGAACTTGTAATGGAAGATATTATGAGTATTCTTGATGACAATAAAAGGGTGACAAGCATAAAAGTTACAGAATTCCTTTTGCTCCAAAATATTGACGAAAAGAGTGTTAATATAATAAATTAAAGTACGTTAACTGTTCAAATTGATTATATTAAAATAAATTATAAGACACTACGTCATGGAGTTTTATTCTTTTGTATCAGAGATGAAAACGAAAACGTAATTGCAAAAGAAACCTGTAAATATAATCCATAGAGAAACTAAGTACTGATATATAACAGTTATGAACTACTAAATCTGAAGTTCTAAATTGGCTTATATAAGCCTATGCGGCTATGTATCTATGCCCATGGCGAGGTGCATATTCCTCTACAAACTTTAAGTGATACTTTGAGGACTTCATTTTGAGACAAGAAGGGGCTAACTAATGAGAATAAATCATGAGTTTTATCCTGATTGTATACAACAGTTTTATATACTCAACGAACATAATAATAAGTTTATTGATTTTTATAATAATTATTATAAAGTTATACAAATTGTAATTTTTGATTAGTTGAGTATATAAAATGTTTTTCACTGAATGAACATCGCCATTAGACCCATAAATTATTTCTTTGTTCAAGATTATCTTTATGTGACATTGTAAATTAAAAAAATATAATTATATTTCGCATAGATATCAGTCGATATTACATGATTCTGTACCAAAATGGTTTCTCACAAATAACAAATATTTGTGTTGACGGTTATTAACATGTATGGAATGATGTTTAGGAAAAAAGTGTTGGACTTGGGTAGAATCGAGAGGGTGGATTTGATTTTTTGAGAATAATTCAAGTATGTGTATAGTATTATTATTATTTCTCTATTTTTATATTTTGAACTCATTGTACCCAATAATTTTTATGTTGTCATATTTTTTTAATTAATTTTTCTTATATTTTATCTCTTTTCAGTTTATATCGGGTAGTTTTATGCTTTATTTAGTTGGACATTTTGTTCCTGTCGATTTTTTTTTAAAATATTTATGTCTTTATTTTTATCTGTATAATAATAACTTCTCTATTTTTTTTAAATAAATTGCTCCACAGATTCAAGGTGATAAGTGTCTGATACTAAAACTAAGTTAAACCACCCAGATGATACAAAAGCCACAGTATAATGCTCCTCCAAGACACAGATAGGCATCGATGCTGCATTATGTTAGAAAATTTTTCTATTTTTGGATCTTCCATTGATTTATAAAATATTGGTTAAATAATATCTTGATGATTTCTGAAATATTCATTTTAGTGATAAGTGAATATTAGAAGTCACATGTTATAGTGTATATAAAATAGTGTAGTCTATATTTAAATGGATCATTGATGTGTAGAAATATTACAACTATTTATGAAAGGGTATATATAGAACCATTGTGACCTACATAAAAAGAGTATAGTTTGAACCATTGTAGCTCTATATGAAAGGATAGGTCCCCTCTCCACTATCTCTATAAATATGTCTTGTGACATAGTATTAATGATGTAACTAGTATAAAATCTCATCAAACTAGAGATAGAAGGAGATGAAGATTCTATCCTATAACAAATATATACAAAGATTACATAAGTAGGTTCAAGAGACAAAGTGCAAGTCATAGCTTCTAGAGGTATATCATCTTACTATCCTATTTAATTTATGATGTTATAATGTATGTAATTAGTGTCCTTATATGTGATCATGGTGAATGACAATATGTAATGATGTAAGTAAAATTTCTTAAATGTGGTATCAGTTTTCAGAGTCATAGTCACAGGCTGGGTGTGTGTTGCTTCCTCATGGTTTTAAACCATGCTAGCATCTTCTGCCACTTTAATTTCACCCCACATTTGTTTAAGATACGATTTTATTTATTTTTTTTGTTAATATTTCAATGATAATCTCCATTTATGAATTTTTTGTTGACATGCACACAAATTGAAATGGCGAGTGCAGCGTTATGAAAACAAGTGGCATGTGTTAAACAAGGTCGCGACAAAATTCAAAGGCTGATGATATATATATATATATTTTTTTTTAAGTTGACCTCTTTTTAAATTTTTTTATATATTCTTAATTTTTTATTTTCTTTTTTTAATTTTACACTACAACATTCCGTTTAGCATTTTCTTATTCTTTTCCATAAATTTTATCTTTTCCTTTTAGTTTTTACATGTACTTTTTTACCTTTTTTCTCCACTTATTTTAATAAGTAATTTTAATTTTTTTGGTTTTACATTATTCTTTTTCTCCCTTCTTTTTCAGTTTTCACACTATTACTGTTTTCTTTCTCTCTTTTAGTTTTCATAGGCACTTGGGACGTAAAACTAGTTTTTGACAACTTTATAGGTATGTGTGGCTTTCTTGAAAATATTAAAGGTGTCAAGCCAAATATGTGTTTTTTCTTATAGCACTTCCTCCCATTTACTCATCTAGAAAGCATAACATCGTACTTTTTAGAATAGTAAAATTATTGTGCGCAAAAATATTTTTTGGAATTGTGTTTTTAACATATTTTCAAAAAGTACTTTTTGAAGCATTAAATTTATTGTTTCGGAAAGTACTTTTTGAACACTAAATTTACAGTTTCAAAAAGAACTTTTTAAAACTATATAAAACAACAGACTTCTAGAATGTATTTTTCAAAATCTTAATTTTACTATTTTAAAAAATACTTTGTGAAAGTGTTATTATACATAATTCCGAAAAGTTCTTTCTAGAACAGTAAACTTAGTGTTTCAAAAAGTATTTTTCAAAAGTATCTTATTTTACATACTTTTGACAAGTACTTTATGCAACACTAGATTTACTATTTTGAAACGTACTATTCAAAAGCATGCAAAACACACAATTCTAAAAAATACTTTTTGAAACACTAATTTTACTATTATGGAATAGTAAAATTAGTATTACAAAACTAATTTCACTATAATAGAAAGTACTCCGAAATAGTGAAATTAGTATTCCGAAATGTCTTTTCCATAACATTAAATTTAATTTTAGGGTTGAGATGTGAAAGGGGAGGAAGTGTTAGAAGAAAAATGTACGTCTAGCTCGACGGAAACTGTCGAGGAAGTCGTACGTGTCTATAATGTTGTTGCGCACTAATTCTACAATTCTAGTGCATGTAGAAAGTGAAAGAAATGAGAGGGAAAAAGAATAATGGGAAAAAA